AGCTGTCTATTCCAAGTTTTATGGGGAGTTGAGAACTTCACTGGCTAGGGAATATTACGTGGCGATACTCGATTCATAGCGAACGGGACGTGTTATTGGGCGCATCGCTCTCAGTATTCAGATTCTGTTCAGTGGTTCGAGATTTCTTAGTGGACCTTCAGGTTTTTTATCTTGGATCTGCCTGGCGAAGATCTGACTACAGAGCACAGAACTCTCCTAGCAGGCATAGCCATCGAGCTTCCAAAGATATCGAGGACAAAAACGGAAGGATCCGATGGAGAATTTGCACAGATCCAAAAAATACCACTCTAAATGGGAGATAGTGGAAAAACATCACCGGCTCCAACACGTGGAGATTTGACTGACAAGGATAGCCGAAGGGCTTCACCCCGGCACTCAGGCAACCTGCTAGAATGAACACGATGAGAGAATGAATACGAGTGTTTCCTGCTCAGATCATCCGCGGTTCTTGGTAATTTCCAGTTCCAGAAGCCGCTTCGTTTGAGAGTCGCAAGGCCGACAGCTTCCTAACGAAGGAATCACATTATCCTCCATGAAACATTTTGCCTGGCTGACGTCACTGTTGTTCCGAAGTTCTGCGAGGGATTGGGCCGTCGTTTCCTCGAGGATAGATTTTGTTTTTGAATGAGTGGAGGAAGAGGTGCGAAGCTCAGGAAAGGGAGCCCCCAAACCACATCAACTGTGATCACTTCTCTTCTCCTTAGTATTTGCATGGAGATTCGTTATCGACAGCATCGACGAAGAGTACAACCGGCCGGTCGAATATCTTGATGTTAGTGCTGGTGAAACAGGGAGTCTACAAGTTGTCAGAAGACGTCCCTCTTCAAAACTGTCGAGCTAATACGCCAGCGCGGAATCTCACAAGCTGCAACAACCAAGTAGCTTCCGAACTCGCGAAGCTCTGCAGAGAAGGGATAAAGTAAGACCTGGAAGAGAGAATAACAGCAATTCCACCCGCAATTCAACTCCGAGAATGAAAGGTGCATAGCAATATTCGCACTACCACGCCCTCCCATATCAGGATGTCTGGATTGCTCACGTCTTCATAATGGGTGCATGTATACATTTTTGGCGACATATAAGCACAAATTACTGCACCTTTTCAAATCTGTAGGATCCGTGCTTGACTTTCGACGAACCTTGTCGATATGTATACTAGTTTAATTACTTGTACACTTTAATACTTTTTAGCTGAGTTTTTATTCAATTATAAAACCATCACCGATTTCAAAATTCACAACAAAGCACAAATTAAGCTTCGGGCACAATCCTATGTTTCAACATTATTCGTGTTATGACCATGACACCAAGGATACTGTCCGAAATCATAACTGCTGCTAAAACCCATTTAAAGCGTCCTGCCGTAACTATATTCTCAAGGATACCGAAAACAAGTTAGGAACAAGTAGTCCTAATGGTTGACGCACCCAAAAGTTCAAGGATGACGAAGGTTCAATTTTTTAGTTAAGCTTCGAGTGGGTCAATGCATTTGAAATTCAGAGTACGTCCCAGATTTCAATGAATCTTTCGCCTCGGCGTTGTAATTCGATGACTACTGCAGGTGCGGAGAAATAATCATAGGAAATGTATGAATAAGGCGTCTCATGAACACTTCGCCGATTGCCCTCTTGATGGCTAAGCATTTCCCAAAGGATTTGATTGTGGAAAACATTGTGGGAGTAGTCAATTGAGCCGTTTGCTTGCAACCAGTTCCATTCAAAGGAAGTGATTTGCCCAGGCATAAGCACAGAAAATCATGACAATTGTTCTAAACGTATTCAAGGAATTCAACGGACTCCATCGCAGCTGTCATTTCCAGATCTCTTTAGTGCCTTTTTTGTGTACGCCTCTTTGGTGCTAGCAAAATCTACAGAACTTCAATGCACATTTGAATATTCAGCGGTCTATGTTTGGGACTTGGTAAAGTCGAGATGTGTATTTCATGCACGTTTTATTCCGTGAACTGACTCATATGAGAAGCTACAGAGCTATTGTTTTTCCACCGCATGTAATGGTGACTTGCTTAGCAAGTGCTGATAGCCCCTTGATAGCTGAGACGAAGTCGTCTAACTGAAATGTGATATTTAAACCTCTGAAAGATTAAAACTAGAAATGCAATTAACAGTATAGTGATATTACTGCTCATCAAGTTTCTACCTCCGGAGAATTGCTAAACCACATCGCAAGAAGCCATCATAGTATCAATTATCTGAAGTGTCCGCGCAAATATACCCTCCACCAAACGAGTTCATCGCTAATAGGTGCAACCAAGAATTCTCCTCAAGTGCACCCCTCGTGAGGACATGCAGAACGAAAGCAACCAATGATGACTTATCATCACGCAGTTATAAGTACTTTGTTACTGCATGCAAGATCGATGCTAGTGGACGGTGAATTTCACAAGACGAGCAATGCGTTGATACCTTATTACAATCCACTCCATGGACGGTATAGACGGCAGCGAATCTTCCATCGATATTCTCTGCTTTTACATCGATTTGTTTAGGGTTGTAGAGAACGTTGTAGCTTTCCTCAAGCTCTTCCACCTGAACAGGTTGTTGCCACTGTCTTAGAAATATTCTACTAGGGTAAGGACTACATAGCTACTTCTGCCTGGCTTTCTAGCGATAAGCGTTCACATACATACGCTCACTTACTGTTGATCTGACTATCTCCAAATAAGAAGGACTCATGTTCTCATCGAAGTCGAAATAGGTTTCCACGATAACTTGTGCTTGCTCATCCGAAGTTGTTGCCTGTGGAACAGAAGCTTGAACAGAGTACGGAACTCTTTTAAAAGTCATAATTCCACTTCTTATTCACGTCCTATACTTCTCCTAAACAGCGGCCCTGGAGCGCTCTCGCTGTTCTGTGAGAAACTTACCCATGAAAAGGCGATGACGCTGACAAAGACGACCAGAGGAAGCATGGGGGTTGGCTGCCTTGGTGAATTTTGGCCGCCATTTTATTCGTTCCGCGGGCGACCACGTGTTATTAGACCAGTATAAAAATCCTTAATATATTTGCCAAGAAAATCAT